TATATTTTCTCACATGAACTACACCTGAACCTGAAAAGTATATGCACATACAAGGTTTGGTTAACTATGCTCACTGTAGTGGAGAGAAGGAGATCCGAAAACTTTATATTTTTAGTGTATTAGATACATTTGTTAAAGATATCACATTAATCCAGAAATACTTTTAGGCAGGACCATAGTAATAGGAAAAAAGATTGAGAAAGTAAGAAAAAGAAACAGTCTTGCAAAGTTCCTATTCTGATTGCTTCAATTTTCTCAGTGAAGTACATAGAAAACAATCTCAACTGAGAATGAGGGAGATGTTGGGCCTTTGAGGAGAGAAAAGACAATCATTTAGAAGAGTAAGAAATTTAAATGATTAGGACTAGAAATGTTTGAAATATGACAGCCTGGCAATATCAAGGGCCAAGCAACATGTGAAGGAAGAACTAGTGAAGTAGAGTGAGTTATTTGTAGTCCTGAAAGCCAAATGAACAAAGTATATCAAAGAGGGTCAGTGTGTGGTTTTCTCGAGTATGTTTGGAGTTGCATAGCTACAAATGCAGGGTAGACAGAGAGCTGGAATTAGCCAGAATATGAATTTGCCAAGTAAACATGATGAAACAAGAAAGAAGTAATGGAAGAAAAATACCAAGGGCAAAGTCATGAAGGTTAAAAACAGATCACAAGTACCAATGCTGAAGGAAAACTGATGAGGTCAGAACAAGAGATAAAAGGAGAACTAGACAGACACAAAGCCAAGACAATCATGGGGGGGTGAAAACTAAAATTATGAAACAGCTGCGATTATTCATAATGATTACAGAGAACCAGTGAGATAGGACAGAGTGAGCACAAGATCAAGAGAAGAATTCAAGGAGTTGTGAGGCCAGAGTATCAGCAGAATCATTACTCTTTTATATAATACAGTGTAAATTCTTTCTTGCATGTAACATAAATCCTTTTTAATTGCTAAAAATTAAATTAAAAATAGCATTGCAGTGGCTAGGAACCAGGAACTCAATTTACTGAAAAGAGCAACTTGCAGTGTTGGTCAACAGCCCAAACAAAAGAACTGAATGATATAAACTAATGTCCCGAGATTGGGTTTCTATTAGAGCATGGAACTTGAATGATGCAGGAGATTTTGTTAGTAATGGACCATGAATTCCAGAGAGCACAGAGCTGAGGTGGGATGGGAGGAGACAGAACCTATTTATAGAGACTGAAACATGGGAATGGAAAGTGAACTATACAAGTCTGAGCCTTCCTAAGAAGTGACATAAAAGGCATTAATATTGGATTCAGTGGATTCATGGCAGAAGATATCATGGTTAGAGTAAAGAAGGGTATGTGAAGGGATAATTATATTTATTTTTATATCACTGGTGATAGGGAGATAAGGGCCCAGAGGTCACATGGTACTTACTCTATGAACAGGAATCCTTATAGCTCCAGTTGACAGGGTAAGATTTATGGTTTTAGATCACAAGAGACTATTATCTTAAGATCACAAGAGACTATTATCTTCAACTTCCCAAGTGCTTTATTCTAATAGTCTCATCTTACTCAAGCTCCAATACAAATTAGTAATTTATCTTTTAGACAAAAAGTGCTGTGTAGTACCATTGGTCCTAATCCCCTACAATTGAGAGAAAAAAAGCAAATAGAACAGATGTCTTTCTGACAAGACACTCACTTGACCAAGGAGAGGCAGGTTTAGCTCTTATAATAAATTCTTGTTCCTGGAAAGCTATAAAAATTCACTAACACTAATAACGAGCCAATGGAGTGAGTGCCCCCTAGTGGACAGAAGAAAATCTTAGGAAAAAAGAAAAACACCCTCATATTTTTCCAGGAAAGACAGGATTGCCCCCTAATATAGGCAACTTTTGAAGCCTAAAGATGAAAACCAGAAAAGTTATACAAGTGCAACAGACAAGTTAACCTACCCTTTGTTGACAACAAATAAGCAACAAAAACCCTCATTATCCCTAAATTCTGAGACATGAGTACAGTATAAACCTTAAGGTATGCACTCACAGTTAAATCCTAACTTCTTTTTAACCAACCTCTCAATTCTTGACCAAGATCTTACTTGCTAGCCAGGTTTTTGTTGTCCCGAGGCTTCAACTCAGGGCCTCAGCACTATCCCTGAGCTTTTCTGATCAAGGTCAGAACTCTACCACTTGAGCCCCATCTTCACTTCCGGCTTTTTGATGATTAACCAGAGATTAAAATCTCATGGGCTTTCCTGCCCAGGCTGTCACAGAACTGTGATCCTCAGATCTCAGCCTCCTGAGTAGCTAGGATTACAGGCAGGAGCCATGGGCACCCAGCTCAGAGTTCTTTCTAAATTATTGCCACTAAACATTTGGAGAACAGTTCTGTTGTTCAGAATTCCTATAATGCACTCTAGACTCTACCCTATTGTGCATTTCACATCTATTAAGAAGTTCTTCCCCAAAATAGTTTTGTAAAGAATACAACTAAAAAGAAAAGTCACTTCAGACCATCAATCATAACTCAAACTCTCCATTTTATGGTTCAAAAGATGGTAGTTTTAAGCTATGATAAAAAGACTGCTTACTGATCACTGAGAAGGAGGGGGAAAGGGGAAATGGGAGGGAGCAAAGAAAGGGAAGGGTACCAGTCATAAATCTGAATTTAATATCTTCCCTGGCAAGGGATAAATTAATTCCTGACTTGTAAGAAGTAAAGAGTTCAGAAACAAGAAATCAAATCCTTAAGTTCCTACCTCTTAATAAGGAGGCACACTTGAGGATTGAAGCTAGGCCCTCACACAGACTAACCAAGTATTCCACCATTGAGACATCCTTGCCCTTTAAAGTTTTTATTTTGATACAGGGTCTTATTAAGTTGTTCAGGCTGACCTGAAACTTGTCATCCTCCTGTTTCAGCCTGTCCAGAAGCTGGGATCACAGGTGTACACCACTGTGCTGGGCAGAGGCACACATATTCTTGAGCTTTATTAGAACAGTGGGTTAAGTCACCTTTGACTACACAAGGCGGAAGTGTACAATGAGGTGTTTTCTCTCCTGCCCACTCTTAGAGAAGTTGTATGTGTCCAGTTTTTAGTTATCAACAAGATAACAAGATACAGGAGATATAGGCATGTGTTTAGCAAGCAAGTGGGAAGTACTGCAGTATGATGAAAACCTAGTGTTCAAAAAAACTTCCTCATCTACAATGGCAACTACTATACTGAAATCACCTCAGTAAAGCTTCTACTGTACTAGATAAATATGACATTTCTACAACTAGAGTAATTTTGCTAGAAATAAATATATCATAATCAGAACATACTTCTTCTATAACCCTAAATAGCCAGTATCTAATCTACTTTCCCTAATTTAATGTTGCTATCCTTTTTGTACCCACAAGAGTCAATGCCAATTAAAGAATGTTTGTTCCTAAATGAATGAAGCAGTTGCTGAAGTATGCCTGCAGAATTACCTGGATCTAACCTGTGAGAAGCTCATAGGGAAAGTACAAACACTTTTGGGAAGCAGAGGGTTAGAGCAAAAAGTTCCCTCAGAGTCTGGAGCTTGAACTCTGGCTGTGGCACTTACTATATAGTCTTGAAAGTTATTTAACCCATGTCTCCATTTCTTCATCTGGAAGATAGAATATTCATAGGGCAGCAATGAGTATTTATCATGTAATTGTATCATCATTAAAACTATGAATGGAAGCCAGGTGCCAGTAGCTCACACCTTGAATCCTAGCTACAAAGGAGACTGAGACCTAAGAATGAAGGTTTGAAGCCAGCCTAGACAAATCTGAGAGACTCTTATCTACAATTAACCAGTACAAAGCCAGAAGAAGTGGCATGGGTCAATGGGCAGAACCCCAATTGTGAGCAACAAAACAAAACCAAACCCAGTAAGAGTACAAGGCCCAAAGTTCAAGCCCCAATAACAAAACACACATATACACAGTATACCAACACACACACAAAACTACAAATGAGAGATCTGACAACACCTGTGTTAGTATTTAAAAAGGAATTAGGGGCTGAGAGTGTATTTCAGTGTGAAGGAAGTAATTTGCACAAGACCCTAAGTTTGATCTTCAGAGCCAAACCAAACACTAAATTGACTCATTATTCATTTTGGTATAGAAGGAATACTTTGAAATGGATTAAGATAAAAGTCTTTTTCTGAAATACTTGTACTAGTGATGTTTAAAGCACTGGGGACAAAGTAACCCTTTTTCATACCAAAGAGAAATATTGTGCCTTTACTTCTTAAGCTTTGAGAATTGCTTTCCCAATTAAAAAGAAAAAAAAAAATCTAAGCTTCTAAAAATGAAGGTAAAAAAGAAAAACAAGAATTTATACAAAAATTATGGACTGGAGTTAAAAAAACAACAAAAACAACACAGCAGGGTGTCGGCAGATCCTGCTTGTAATCACAGCTACACAGGAGGCAGTGATCCGAAGCTAGACTGGGTGAAGCTAGATTGGGCAGAAAAGTCTGTGAGACTCTTATCTCTAATAATCTACTCAGAAAACACTGGAAGTGGTGCTGTGGTTCAAGTGGTAGAACCCTAGCTTTACACAAAAAAGAAACTAAAGGACAGCACACAAGGCTCTGAGTTCAAGCCCCAGGACAGGCCAAAAAAAAAAAAAAAGAACAAAACCTAGGTTTGGCTATTTAGCCTGAAGAACGTAATCTATCCATTCTATGTGTTCTGCTGAGTGGAGACAACATTCTTCTATACCTGTCTCATAAGATTTCACTGACATAATGGCATTACTATTTCAGTTACCACTTACCTTCCAAAGGAAAAACAAGTACATAGTAGCTTCAACTTTAAATAACTTCCTTTCTTGTCAGTTAATACCACAGTTATCAGCCTTTCTGGACTCTTAAAAAAAAATCTAGCAAGAGAAACCAGCTCTCAATCTCTGGCCTCTGCTTCTAAAGAGAAATCTCTGTTTCATTTGTTTTCAAATATTCAAGAGATTCAACTAAAAGGTTCTTCCATATGCTTACCTTTGGAAGCTGCAGGAGCAAAGGGCCAGGAGATGGAAAGCATATATTGGAAAGAAAAGAAAAGAATCACACACAGTTAGTTGCTCAGCCACTCAACCTATTAAAGACTATTACTCATTAAGTACTCTAGGCTGGAGATGGCAGTGACAGAATTCATACAAGAGGATTTTCAAAATGCATCCAAGATGGGTGGTGGTGGCTCATACCTATAATCCTAGCTACTCAGGAGGCTGAAATCTGAGGATTGAGATTTGAAGCCAGCCTGAGCAGAAAAGTCCCCATTAGACTCTTATCTGCAATTTATTACTCAAAAACCATAAGTGGAGCTGTGGCTCAAAGTGGTAGAGCGCCACAGGGATAGCACCTAGACCTTGAGTTCAAGCTCCACAACTGAAAGAAAAGGGTTCAAACTGAGCTTATGATATTCTATAATTTCACATTCCCATAGTTAAAGGAACACAGAATACCTACATACAACAGTTCTACTGCACAACACTAGGAATCCCATAATACAAAAATAACTTATTTTCTTCTAAATGGGAAAACCTATCTCTCTTCCACTCAACATGATCTTTCCATCTCACCTAGAGAAGGGACAAGAATGGGAAACTTATTCTAGACATTGGCATTAAAGAGGAAGGTACTCACTCTTGGTCTGGGCAGAAAAGGTAAGGGTAAGTTTGGCAAAAAGTTCGTTGTTCTCAAAGCGGTCCTCTTTCACTTTTGTCCAGAAGCAGTCTTGAGAAAGGTCCTCAGCCATAAACTATGGATACAGGCAGAATGGGTAAGAGTTCCTAGATTGAACCATGAATTTTTAATCCTAGAAAACTCAGTAAAGTGCAAATGAGGTGCCTATACTTGGGATCAGCAACATTTTAGGAGAATAAGGCTAACCTAAGACAGAGTATGTCTTTCATGGGGATCAGGAAATGCTTCCTATTTGTTTACTGGTGACTGGTCAAGTATTAGTCAGTCATGCTACCTGTCCTCCTTCTAATCTCAAACCTTGTTTCAGAAGTATTGAGGCATTACTTGATATTGGCTCTTACTCTACATTTCCCCCATCAATCTGGCTTCAATTTATTTTAACTTAGTTTCTAAAATCAAAAGGCTGGCTCAGAATCACAGGCATCATGGGCCACACAATGGCCTCTTACCCTATGGAATCAATCGGCATAATTTCAGTCATTTACACACTGGTAAAATGAGTAATGTCAAGTATTCATATTTTCTGAAAAAAGGCAAAAAAACTTAATGAGAAGAGCAGGGCTTGCAGAACTCTCCATGGTAATATCTGAATATCCAATAGCAAGTAGAACTTGAAAATGGACAGACAAAAGCTCTACGAAAGGAAAGCTTACTCATGCACAGAATACAAAGTAGGAAACTGAAGTGGTAGGTTTTGTTTGCTTGAGATTTGAGACAGGGTCTTGCTACATAGCCCAAGATGGCCTAGAACCCCTAATCCTTCTGCTTAGCCTCCTAAGTGCTACAATTGTAGTCATGCACCACTACACCTGATTCAAGTGATTTCTCAAGATTTGCTGATGAAGAAATGAATAGACAGTCTCACCTTGGACCAGTTTGGCCTCCGAAGCTGCACCTCTGGCTTATAAATCTTTTTGGGGGTTAATCCAAATGGTAGGACTGGGGCTGCAGGAACTCCAAATCCAAAGGGGGGAGGTGGAGGCACACCCATTCCAGGGGGAGGTGGAGGAATGCCAGGACCTCCCGGAAATGGAGGTGGAGGTGGAGGGATTCCAGAACCACCAGGTAGAGGAGGAGGGGGAGGAGGAGGAGGCATTCCTGGTCCTCCCAGCAAGGGAGGAGGTGGAGGGATACAAGCACTCCCAGGCAAGGGAGGTGGTGGGGGAATACTAGCACTTCCAGGCAAGGGAGGGGGTGGAGGGATGCCAGCATCTCCAGGCAAGGGAGGGGGTGGGGGAATGCCAGCATCCCCAGGCAAAGGAGGAGGTGGAGGGATGCTGGTACCTCCAGGCAGAGAGGTCCCTGGCAAAGGAGGGGGGGGTGGAGGAGAAAAAACGGTACTACTTCCAGGAAGAGGAGGAGGGGGTGGTATACTAGGCGCTCCAGGTAAAGGAGGAGCTGGGGGTGGAGCAACAGTGCCAGGGTCACCAGATAAAGGAGGGGCAGGAGGAACAGGAGCACTACTAGGAGCTACAGCAACAGCTGCAGCAGAGAGAGAAGCGACTTCTTTCTTGGCATCTTCAAGTTCTTTGGATAGCTTGGCAACCTACAGAAACAATGATATGAGTTCTCCTCAGCCCACTTCAGGGACTACTAAGGCTGGAAAGACCCTATGAAACCTCTTAATAAAATTCCTATTTAAACATGGACTGAGAACAATCAGATAGAACTCACGATTTGTCTAAAGTCCCAGTGCGATAAAGTGACAATCAAAACTAGAACTCAAATCTTCACTTTATTAGTTCAGTTTGCTTTGTATTAAAATTTTCAACTTTTATGTTAAACTCTCCCTTTGATTTGTAGTAATATTTAAAATATATACAGGTAATTATATAACTATTTAAGTTATTGTTATTAAAATATCATGTAACAAATTGTCTAAATATTACAACTGCAAAGAATGAGGATAAATCAAATACTACTAAAATAAGGGAAAATTGGCAAGTAAGTAAATAATTCCATTGCTATTCCTAAATATATTAGGGAAGAACTTTGAATATACTTCTTTTGTTCTATGTCTTTCTATAATTTCTAAACTTTTGGTCTTTAGTATTATTTATTTCCAAAACAAAACCCCAAACAGTAAGTGATTTAAGAAATATGCACCATCTACGTATTAGTAGCTGCTTCTTCCCTAGCAGTGAAATGACAGACTCTGGCTCTTTAAAGATTTGTATCGGCTGGGGCTGTAGAGGGCAATTATATAGAACTCTGTCTTCCCTGTTCAGAGTTACCTCTCCTGTGAGCTGGGACAATTCTGTTTCCAGGTTGTGTTTCTCTGTGGTAATCTGCTGTTTTTCAGAATCCAATGCATCCTTTTCTCCTTGAAGATTCTGAAGTTTCTGCTCAAAGTCATTTTCCATCTTTTTCATTTCAACTTGTAGTTCATGTCGAGCTGTTAACTCTGAGTCCAGCTAAAGAAGAAAGGAAAACAGGTTCACAGAAAGCTCTCTACTTCAGTAAGGAGCAAAGTGCTATCCCACATAGTTTACTAGTTTATGACCTGTAGTTCAGATGCCAGACAATGCCTCAGAAAAAAGAATATGCATGTGCATATGTGAATACACACATAGAGCATGATTCTGACCTTAAAATCAAGGTTCAAAGAGAGAGGAACCACAAAGACAATTGTCATAGTCTTTCTACTTTTATAGTTAAATAACACCACCAGCAACAAAACAATAATACATAGACAACACACACACACACACACACACAAAACCTACAAGCTTGCTGGTGTCTCATATCTATAATCCTAGCTACTCAACAAGCTGAGATTCAATCATTTTGGTTTGAAACCAGTTGGGACAGACAAATCTGCAAGACTCTTATTTCCAATTAACAACAAGAAAAAAAGCCAGAACTGGAAGCATAGTTCAAGATATAGAGTACCAGGTCTAAGTGAAAAAGCTGAGCCCTGAGTTCAAGCCACAGTACCAACACGGAAACAAACAAGGTGGCTCACACCTGTAATCCTAGCTACTTAGGAGGCTATAATCTGACGGTCTCAGTTTGAAGCCAGCCCAGGCATGAAAGTCTGTGAGTGTCTTATCTCCAATTAACCAGACATAAAGCTGCAGCTCCATTATTAGAGTGCTAACTTTGACCAAAAAGCTCAGGAATAGCACTCAAGCCCTAAGTTCAAGACCCAAGACTACCCCTTCCCATCATCCCCTGAAAAAAATAAGCCCTAAGATTCAAGACATTAACCAGGATAGCCATGATAAAAGAATCCTGGTAGTCACTAGGACTGCAAACCTATTAGGCACAACACAGTCTTCAACAGCCAAAGAGAAAAAGAGAACCCAGACAAGTTCTAGTTCTTAATATCACAGGGCAAGAGGACTTGAGTTATACCATATATAAGAATATCATCTGTCTTTTTTATCCTGCCTGGTAACCAAGAACCAGTTCCTAGTATTTGAATAGTAACAAACATGTACCTAATGCACCAAATAATAATCCTCAAATAAGGATATATCCCAAACAAACAAATCACCACCACATCACCACCAATAACAAAAAATATTTGGAGAGAAGTGCTAGAGATCAAATCTAGGTTCAAATCTCACATATTTTAGATAAGCATAACCACTTATCCTTCAAAATTACCTTTTTTTCCAGTTCTGTAGCTTTGGCTTCAGATTTCTCCACCTTTGTTTTATCAATCATTTGATCTGGAAAAAAAAAAAAAGAATCAGTAAGTGAAGTTCACTTCCAGTTCTTTTGGTCTTCCCTTCTCATTCCTAAACCCTTCAATATGTCAAAGAACAGTCTTCTGTCTTCTGTCCTTTCAAGTAACAGCATCATTTTTTCTTAATGTTCTATATTAGACCAAGAAATACACCTTTTAATTAAGTTTAACCATAATTTCTGAGTGTAAGTAAAGCTATCAGAAGTGTGTATGATTCTTACGATTCTCTGAGGCCAGCAGGAGGCATAGATAACAGCTGAGAAAGGCACAGGTTTTTAAACTTATGTAGAAGTAAGTTTAAGGACTCTATATTCCTAGGAAAGTTGGTTAAAGCCTAAGAAAGGTTTCTGTTTGGAAATTTCACTGAAAAATATGCAAAATGAAAGGTAGAACCAACACATACTTTGAGAAACCAGACAGATTCAAATGCTCACCAATCAGTCCTTCAATATCAATCTGGAGGTGCCGGCACTTGAAATCAGGATCAGCCCCATTTTTGTGCAAAACTATTTGAGAAATACACTCTTCAATCAACTTATAGTACTGTGGTCTATGGGAAAAAAATGAAACAGAATTATCAAAAGGCAATCAAAATATAATTATCAAAAATATTCAGGATAACCAAAAGTTAACTGCTTTAATAATAAAGAACCTGAGAATAAATGTTCTGGAAAGAAATTTTTCATAAACAAAAGCATAACTGCTATGCTAAGAAATCACCATTTTCCAGGGCTGGGAAGGTGGCTCAGTGGTAGAGTGCTTGCCTTGCATACCTGAGGCCCTAGGTTCGATTCCTCAGTACCACATAAGCAAAAAGAAAAAAGCTGGAAGTGGCGCTGTGGCTCAAGTGATAGAGTGCTAGCCTTGAGCTGAAGAGCTGAGGGACAACGCCCAGGCCCAGAGTTCAGGCCCCATGACCGGACACCCCCCCACCCAAAAAAAAGTAAAAATAAAAAAAAAAAAATCACCATTTCCACACAAACTTCCATCTTTTATACTTCTGACAAGTGTGTAACTCAGCGGTAAAGCACAGGGATTCAATTTCCTGCAACATTCTCTTCCCTTCCTCTCTCCTCCCTCCCTCTCTCTCCACTTGCTTCCTAATACTTTCTCCTCTAAATATTTAGGTTTGAGCCTTGTTATGAAAAACGGTTACTGCTGGATCTTCATTTTCAGGCAGTCCTTTATCATCCATACCACCCCATCCACAACCTTCCAAAAAGAGCATTTTACTTCTTACATTTCTTCCATAGGTCTTTCAGTTAAATTAAAGGGAAAACTGACAAATTTCCTTTATATCTTTGACAAATGACCCTAAATCCATGGTCTTGAACTTTTCCTTTTCCCTTTAGAGATCTTTGAAGATTCTGCTTTTTCCTATTTAAGCTCAAGCCCAAAACTTCTCATAAGCACATCACTTACCTAGCCTCATAGTCATTTCGGACCAACAATAAGTGCTGCAGGATGGATAGGAAGTGTGGCTCTGCTTTTGAATCCTTCACTGTGTTTAAGAGAATTTGGAAGATTTCACTAAAGTCAGTGGAAAGGGGAATAGGCTAAGGAAAGCAAATACTTAGAAACCGTTTAAGAGAGTCCTATCTACAGGGACAGAAGATTCCTACTACTTGGCCTGAAGATCAAGCAGTAGACAGAATTGAAAACAGAACCACCTCAAAGTTACTTGTGAAATATAACCAAATAGGCATTGACATTATTTCCTATCAGTCCAAACATTTACAAAGATCTGAGGACTGTGGTGCAAAGCCAGCCCCAGGCAGGAAAATCCGTGACTCTTATCTCCAATTAACCACTAGAAAACTGGAAGTGGTGCTGTGGTTCGAAGTGGTAGAGCACTAGCCAGTTCAAGCCCCATAACTGACCAAAAAAAGAAAAAAGAAAAAAGAAAAGACATAAGCTTCTGATGTTTTGTTTCCTACACTGTTCCATCCATGTATTCAGTCTGTAACTGAATACAATGAATATCTCATCTTCAAGTTACAGAAAGGATATTCCATCTCCATGCGAATGTCATCCAGCCGTCCCTTCAGATCATAGGAATCTTCATCTCCTTGTTCATCAAAAACAGCTAGCTGCACTTTCATATCATCATTTTCAATCTCCCGAAGGTCCTGTCATGGCAAAAGAAATTAGGAGCTCAAAAGTGCTCTATGTGGCTAGACTTAAACCCTTTCACCTAGTTTTCAAGTTGAAAACCAGAGTTATTCCAGGGATGCTTGGGGCTGTAAATGCAGGAAAGAGCCAGCCTTTCTAATGAAGTGCTTACCTGCAACACCTGATGCAGGCCCAAGCGCATCAATTCACTTCGGATGTGAACTCGGAAGTCAAGTTCTTCAGCTGGAGTGATGAGAGCATTGATCAGCTGTAGGCATCCAACCTAAATAAGAAAATTTAGTAGCTTAATATTAATGCTAAGTCCTACAGATCAACTTTCCATTCTCTATATATACCCTGGGGCTCCCAAATATGATAAGATGCAGTATAAGAACTAGAAGAGTAACTTCCCAACTAGAGTAATGTCACCGGGTTTGAGCAGAGGACTCAAAAGTATTTGCATTTTTTTATTAATTTCAAGGATCTCATGGTGTTTGTTATTGTTAAGCATTGGTTTCCCTAATATGCACATAGATACTTATGTCTTTTTTCATCTCATGATAAGAAAAACTGCTCTTTTCTTTGGCTTTTTAGAAAAAGGTTCATCAATTCCCCCTCAAAACAAATCTGAAATACATAAAATAGCTGAGAAACAGTGTATTTTATTTAAAAATCAAATGAAGCCAGTCATGGTGGAGACGCCTGTAATCCCAGCACTCAGGACAATGAGACAGGAGGGAGGATCATGAATTCTAGGCCAGCCTGGGCTATACAGTTACCATGCTAGCCAGGATACATAGGCAGACGCTATCTCAACTCTTTCCAAAAGGTGAAGTCTTTATAATCTCAGGCCCAGTTTCAACAGGTATACATGCCTTGAGTGCAATAGAGGTCCCACTTTTTAATCCATCCAGCAATGGCTGGAAACGTTCCACTTCATCCATCTCAGCTCTCTCTGTCATTGCCTCTAAAACTCTTTCATTCCTGCCCAAGAAAAAGAAAGAGAGGGAACTGTTCAGGTACTCTGACACAAATGTAGGTATATTTCACAGAAAGAACAAGACATTAGCAATGAGTCAAACTTCTTAAATTCTTTTGTTTTTTGGTGCCAGTTCTGGTAGTTGATCTCAGGGCTTGGATTCTGTCCCTGAACTTTTGTTCAAGGCTACTTCTCTACCACTTGAGCCACAGCTCTACTTCTAGCTTTTTGTGGTTAGTCTCCTGCCCAGGCTGGCTTCAAACCATGACCCTCAGATCTCAGCCCCTTGAGTAGATTAGAGGCATGAGCCACTTGTACTGGCTAGAATCTCTCATTTTTGCCCATGCCAACTTGGATGGTGATTGTTTGACTTATGCATACTGGGATGACAGGTGTACGCAACCATGCCAAGCTATTGGCTGAGATGGGGGGGTCTCATAAACATTTTCCCTGGGCTGATCTTGAATTGCAATTCTCCTGATCTCTGTGTAACTGGATTACAGATGTAAGCCACTGTGCCTGCCTTATACAATATTTTAAACAATTTTGTGCACAATAGCAAGGTTTCATAGTATAGAATTTTCTACTTTGGAGCATCATGATGGTGCTCAAAAGGTTTCACAGTTTATAGCACGTTTAATTTTTTGGATTTGGGATGTACAACCTATATTAAGATTCTATATTTACTTCTGAGAAGAAATATGGTTGTATGTAGTATTTAAGACTAAAAGGACCACTAAGCAACTCAAATTTCCTCCAGGCTACGAGAAAATGGTAAAAATGACTATGAAGTGAAATAAACTAGTCACATACATGTCCTCTGGTTGTGGTAGGATACAAAGAGCAGAAAGTAGCTTAGCTGCATCAATCATCATATTGGGAACTGCAGGATCCATGGCTCTGACCAGCAGCAGGATTCCTTCTTCTGTCTCCAACATAGTCTTGATTCCAAACTGGTAAGAAAACAGAAGGGAGGCTTGACGATGACAACCTCTAACCGGGTACAAGTTTAGGGGCAGTCAATTAGTCATGGACTTAATGGAATTCTCCCCAAATCCTTACATTATTGAGTGCTATTCCCAATACCTCAGAATGTGGCCTTTCTGCAAATATATAATCATTACCGATAGAATTAGTTAAATCTCAAATTACTAGAATAGAGTAAGCCCCTAATCTTATATGACTGGTCCTTAGCAAATACAAAATTTAGATCCAGACACACACATCATGGAGAACACACATCAAGGAGAACATCATGGAAACATAAAGCAGAAATCAGGATGATGCAACTACAATGTCAGTGACATTGCAACAAGCAATGTCAGTGATTTCCAACAAACCATCAGAAATGAGAGAGAAACATATACTCTCCTTCATAACCTTTAGTAGAAACCAACCCAGCTGATTATTAATCTTGGATTTCCAGTTCTCAGAAGCAAGACAATAAATTATTGGTGCTGAAGATACTCAGTCTAACACTGGGTACAATACTTTTTCCTAATGTAGCTAAATGGAGATTAATATAGTGGCTCAAGTACAAGGCCCTAAGTTCACTCCTCAGTACCCTCCTCCCTACCAAGAAAGATGAATATAGCAACATAATTTTTGAGGGGAATCACAAATGATTAAAATATTTAATTTTTAGGTTTCTTTTTAATACTTCCTCAATTCAGTAAGTTAATTATAACACAATTAAATAGTGAAAAAAGTTGACTTGTACTCAGCAAGAAATAGTTGTGGGCTCCCTGGCTTTAAATACTGAACTAACAAAAAAGACAAAAGAATTCTGAAGTAGGAATAGCCTGGAAAAAGAGAAACAAAATAAACAAAAAAGTGAACCTCTTCCAAACAATATTGGTAAGGCAATCCAAAGACTAGCAAAAGAATACAAAGTAAAAGTTCTGTTAAAATTAGGAAAAAAGGCCCATGGGATCAAGTGAATATGGCAGGGAATAATGGTTATGATACTAAAAGGGAAAGCTAAAAGGACTTAACCTCCTATTTTTACTTCCTTTTCAGAGTTTAGTCCACAGAAGAAAAAGAATGGGGTTCAATATGGAGTCTGGAATGAGAATAGGGAGGAAAAATCTCACCTTGTTGTTCATAAAAGCTTTCAAGCAGCGAATGACTTCATGCTGGTTCCGGCTATCATAGCTTCTGTGTGTAGAAGATATATAATGAGTGATATCCCTTTTGCATATAACTTCACAATCTTGCTAACAAGAACATTAGTAGTATCTTCAACTAGTAGCTGGGTAAAGTCTAGTACTTAGCACTTGGCCCAGAAATAATAACAAAAGTAAGTAGCTTAAAAGCGATCCCTCACCAATGATCTTTGGCTAAAATTCTTGCAATCCGAGAATTTAGTATCATTAAAAACCTGCTCTTTTGAATGGGCTGTAGTACAACTCAATGGTAGAGTGCTTGCCTACCTTGAAAAAGACCTGGGGTTCAATCCATTACCACTATCACCACCATCATCACCATCACTATCACTTGCCCAACTTCCTCTAAGCCCTTAAGTGCTAAATTCTATCAGGATAACATTCTACCTATTACTGCTTGCTCTATTATTTCAAAGGTTTCAAGTCTGAGAAGGCAGAATTCAGGTACAGGTCCTATATTATTTTTGACTCAGGAAAATTCCAATAGAGGTCTCTCTGGTTCAGGCTGGCTTCAAGGTAGCCTAAGTCAGCTCAAAGTATTCCCAGAATTATTTTAACTCTGAAGACAGAGTTAAAATAATCTGCAAATAATCTGCAAAGCTAATCTCAAAGACTTCCAAATGGGGTATGATCCAAACCAAATCACAGGGCATGTCTGGATAAAATAGATTCTCTTTACAGACTGAAAAAGAATCCATACTGGGAGACTGACTCTCCACTTACAAGATTCGAAGTCACAAAAAGTCCTTACCCAGAAGATTCCTCTTTCTCGTCATGAAGTCGTTTGAGGATGTCCAATAAGGAGGCCAGGCCTTCAGCACCAAATGTTTGCACCCAACTATAAGTAGTAGACAGAAACAATGCAATATCAAGTCAACAAAAATATTTGCCAAATATAGTTTATCCTGGAAACTCTTTATTCTCAATCCAGACCATTCTTATATCTGACTACTTAGTTCACCCATGAACTATAACGTTTAGTTTCTATTATTGTTATCTCCTCAGAATCCTTACCTGACAGGGTTGTTGTTGAGAGAGACACGAAGGGATTCCAGGCAGCTGAGCAGAGGCATATCCCGCAAGCCTGACCTCAACTCCTGAATGTACATCATGGCAGACCTGGAGCTCTCCTTCTGGCTCATGCCCTGGTCAAAAGGCATAGAGAGAGATTAGTGAGCAAAGTTTAAAACGTAAGGGCAAACATCATTCCTATCACAAAACTACGTGAGACTCAGAACTGACCATCCCACTCCCCATATGTACTTGAAGGTTTAAGTTAGGCAAAAAATATATAATATCTAAGACTGGTAACTCAAATAAGAGTAAAATATGAATAGGCCTATATACTGGAATGAGCAGAACTAATAGAAATATCAGATATTATGTAACTTTGGCAAAATAAACAGGTTCATGATGAGATACAGTCTCTCAGGTACCACAGTATACATCCCAAAACTCACAGCCTTGGAAGTGTGCAAGTATTGGGACACCATCTCTCTCTTGATGACAATGTCCTTTTCTCTTAATGGTTGCTGTTTTTCCTCATTGAGGTTCATATCCACCTAGCAGAAAGAAGGAAAAAAGCGAAAAATAAAACTTTCTTGAAATATTGAGATTACAAATATTTAGTGCTTAATAATCAGTATACTTAGCAATGATGTAAAAACTAAGTGATTACAGAATAAATGTTTTCTTGATTCTTAGACATTTAGCTATTATAGCTGGTATAAACTCCTCAGAGATTAAATGCAGTTAACATTTAAGTATAAATTCCTATAGACAACCAGGCCACTACAGATATATCATTTATACACAGCCTCACACACTAGCTCAGCTTTTTCACTCATGGCTAACACTTGAGCTACATCTCAAATTCCTTCTTTTGTATTAGTATTATTATTTGTTTGTTTTGTCAGCTGTGGGGCTTGAACTCTGGGCCTGGGCACTGTCCCTAAGCTCTTCAGCTCAAGGCAAGCACTCTACCACTTAAGCCACAGTGCCACTTCCAGTTTTCTGGTGGTTAGTTGGAGATAAGTCTCATGGACTTTCCTGCCCCAGCTGGCTTTGAATTGCAACTCTCAGATCTCAGCCTTCTAGTAGCTACGATTATAGGCATGAGCCACTAGTGCCCGGCCCTTCTTTTGTATTATTAAAAAAAAAAAACTTATTCAATGTTTTTTGATATAGTATAGAGCCTTCAAAATAAGAGACTGAAGCACTGGTACCATCTAACCACCAGTGAAATCTGCAAAGTCTAGTATTTAAACCCCCCATTACTCTGACTACCTAGTGTCCTCTTCATTTATTGTTCCTCACTGAGGACAGCAAAATAAGTAACATAAGCCAACCTACACAAAGACAATTTTTAAAGGCCTTCCAGTGATTTGGAATCAAGCCTTTTCTTTTCAAATTTATCCCTATTCCTATCTCTCCATTTCTTCTTTGTATACAACTCACTGTAAACATATCCCTGCTTCATCAAAGATGGTCTCCATACTAGCACATGAACATGACCCCATGTCTTTGTGGTTAAAGTGTTGCCAGTGGGACATTAGTAAGTGTCATCCCCGATCAGATGTTCCCAAGCCTAACTCAGAGATTCCAATTTATAGACAGGTATCCTTATATATTTAGTCCTTAAATCAGATTTTTGTAAACATTCTGTATTAAGCTTAGGACTCTTTGCAATAAACATAGCTTAAAAGGGCCATGCAGGCAAGGCATTGGTAACTCATACCTGTAGTCTTGTTACTTGGGAGGCTGAGATCTAAAGATCATGGCTCAAAGCCGCCTGGGCAGAAGTCTATGAGACTCTTACCTCCAATTAACCAAAAAAGGGCTGGAAGCCAGGGTGTGGCTCAAGTGGCAGAGTGACAGTCTTGAGCAAAAAAGCCAACTGAGGGCTCAAGGGCCCAAGTTCAAGCCCCAGTACTGGCACATACACATGTGTGTGCATGTATGTATGTACACACACACATACACACACTATGCATCATGCTCATTGTGCTCACAAATGTATTCAGGAAGAAACAACATTTTAGGGTGCAAAACTTACCAGCATCTGTTCAAAGAGAATTAAAACCTGCTCATCTGAAATATCATTCAATGACTGTGCTGTAGGATCATCTCCATATGATGCAGAAGAATTTCTATGAGCAGAATTGGGCTTTTCCTTCTCTTTCTTAATTCTCATGCTGGTAAATCTCTCCAGCTAAGAAAGAGAAAAAAGTATTGCAACAAACTACACATCAAATAATCAACCCTTTCACCTCTCATATGGTATGTATGCCTCCTTGGGTTCATAACCAGCTCAAGACTCTGCTGACATGCAAAAAAATCAGTCTTCCTCATACCCAACAAAGCATATTTACTCTATTTTTATTTAAATTCAGTTATAAGGACTGAAGTGGAAACATTTCAAACATCTAAAAAGAGAACTTTATTCTTAATTTTCCTCTGCCTTTTTTAAACCTTGCAACAGCAAAGAAAATTGAAAACATCTCATGTGTAGAGCTATCTCAATAAAACACTTGATTTCCCTCTATTCAGTAGAGCTATCTCAATAAAACACTTTGTTTCCTTCTAGCTATTCAAAAAAATGTGACTAGGTCCTCAGAAGACCCTTTCTTCAGAAAGTGACTTTAACACAGATAAATCACACAGAATAAATAAGTAAATGCCAGAAACCACAAGCCATTCCTCCCCCCCCGCCCCTTTTAAGGTACATTCCATGGCACTTAGGTTACAAAAGCAACAAAAGTTCAATGTATATTCTTCAAAAATCTCCTTTGCAGGACAACTAGTCAGTAAAGAATACAATGTCCTTTAGAGATATATATACCAACTGTGCACCAAGCAAATATTAAGGAACCCTTCCACATATCTTCAGTGAAATTGAAAACTTTAAAAGGAGCCAAAAATAAATAAGCAATAGCTTATCAGCTCAATATATTTGAAAAGAATAGTAACTGCATGCAAGTGTTGTGGTACTTCAAATGACAGGAACCACATACAGACTCTGCAAGTCAGGTTAGAGATCAAAGGCTGTTGCCCAAGTATGAAGATTAATAAATGTGCAAAGGAAATGCATGCAATGGGCCAGGCTCAGAGAAAAGTTAGGAAAAGCCCTTAGGATGCTCTGAGGCTAGAACCCACATCACCATTACATATTAAAGAAAGTCAAAATTATGGAAAGTCAAAGTTATGTTATAGTTTAAGAAATGAGCTAGAAAAACATGCACATGCCAAACAAAATTTTCTTACCTCATCTGCCATGAGCCGCTTTAAAGTCTAAGAAACAGGAAAAAGGAGGAAGAAAGAAAGAGGAGATCAGTGAAATACTAAGAAACCTCCCAAACACCAGACGGCTTGGGGGTTGGGACAGGAAGAGAAAATAATTGAAAGACCCTAAGTTTTATTTTCCACAAACTACAAGGTTTCTGCACAAGTACTATTTAGCAAATTCCTTCAGATAAAGAACAGGGAGAGTTTTAACACTAGTATATGACTCAATCTACCAAGTGCAAAGCCCTGAGTTTGATCCTCACAACCACCAACACAGGTAGGCAAGTAGATAAGATAGGTAGGTAAATAGATAGCAATAACTCCCAAGTCTGGCTTTAGAGAAACAGGAGTTCTCTCACATTGTTAAATATAGGAGAAAACACTGTGGCTACTTAGGAAAACAGCATTATCTCAAAGTTAAATGTACAACCACAACAACTCAACATTCTAATTTCTCCATATCTTTTCTACTGAAATGTGTGCATATGTAGCAGGACATGTGTAATAAAAATGCTCATAGAAGGAAGTGTCACTGTAGTTCAAGTGGTAGAGCGCTCGCCTTGAGCTGAAGAGCACAGGGACAGCACTCAACCCTAGGTTCAAGCCCCACAACTGACAAAAAAAAAATAATAAAAGTGCTCATAGTAACTGGGTGCCAGTAGCTCAGGAGTCTCAGATCTGAGGATCAAGGTTCAAAGCCAGCCCAGGCAGGAAAGTCTTCACTCTTATCTCCAATTAACCACCATAAATTGGAAGTAGAGCTGTGGATCAAAATGGTAGAGTATTAGCCTTGAGTACAAAAGCTCAGAGACAGCATTTAGGCCCTAAGTTCAAGATTCATCGTGACTACTACCACCACCAACAACAAAGTGCTTATAGTTACACTAAAACCAAGAACAATTGAAATAGCCATCAAGAATAGGATGGAGCTGAGAAGTATGGTTCAAGTGGTAGAATGTCTGCCTAGCAAGTAAGAGACTCTGAGTTCAAACTACAGTACTGCCAAAAAAATTGTTACCAATAAACAAAAAAAAAAATAAACTAGTAAATTGACACAACAGAAGTCAATTATGTAAAGTGAACGAACTACATCTACCTACAAGCATACTGAATTATTTACACTGAGGTTAAAAACATATAAAACAAGCCAGGTGCCAGTGGGCTCATGCCTGGAATTCTAGCAATTCAGAAGGCTGAAATCTGGGGATCAGGGTTGAAGGCAGCCCAGGCAGGAAAAGTCCATGAGACTTTTATCTCCAATGAAGTACTCAAAAAAGCCAGAAGTGGAACTGCTCTCACCTTGAGCAAAAGAAGCTCAGGGACAGTGGACAGGCCCATAGTTCAATTGTGGGGGGGGGGGGGGGGGGGGGGTGACGGAGGAGTGATACATTTACACACATACACAACTAAATTATTTTAGTATATAAAACTACAAAGGGAAAGATTATCACGAATGTTAGAATGGTGGTTACTTGGGGTTGACATGGATGATGATTACATAGGTGCTCAGATTGCAATTACCTTGTATGTTTTATATTTACATTTATATGTACATACTATACATACATATATAATTTTTAAAATATGAAATGAGTAAGTCAAGCAAAGTGGTAATTTTTTATTTTATTATTTTATTTTTTTTTTGTCAATCTTGGGGCCTGAACTCTGGGCCTGGGCACTGTCCCTTAGTTCTTCAGCTCACTCTACTACTTGAGCCACAGCACCACTTCCAGCCTTTTCTGCTTATGTGGTGCTGAGGAATCGAACCCAGGGCCTCATGCATGTAAAGCAAGCATTCTACCACTGAGCCACCTTCCCAGCTCCAAAGTAGTAATTTTTTCACACCTTAATTAACTTTAGCCATATTTCTTTTGTTAAGGTCCATGGAAGAATATAGTAAATGCCTCTAAACTAATGTTTCTAAAATAAAGAAAATGTTCTGTCCTTGCCAAAAATCTATTTTCCTAGCTTTTTTACGGACAGGGAAAATCTACAACATTATGTTTATGTTCCTCATGTCAAAGTTCAGTAAAAGCTGTTGTAAGCTGTCAGTCTTTGCTTTCAATGATACCGACATCTTCTGCTAGCCGAGTACTAATCACTCATCATAAGAACCTTGCTCAGCATCCTTGGAAATTATAGTTACTTCATTTGTGTTGCTTACTAGTAATAAAAGAAGATGATGAGGCAGAAACAGCACCACCCAAGGAGACCAATAGTACAGTTCCATATAAGACAGTCCTACCCTAAGTACATCACATGGCACACAGAGTTGAAACAAGCCACAAAGGAACCAATGTATACAGTTTAAGTTGTAACACACAAGGTTCAATTATCGGTTCCTGGAGCAATTGCTTCAAAAACTTTGTCCCTAAAAATAAAAACATTCCCTCAGAATGAAGAAACTATCAAAAAACTCTGGTATAGATAAGAGAATCTGGGTCTAAAGAACAAACTGTACACAGCTGCAGCTCAAGTTAAAGAAAGAGAAACTAGGGCTGGGGATGTGGCTTAGTGGTAGAGTTTGCCTAGCATGCATGAAACCCTGGGTTCCATTCCTCAGTACCACATACACAGAAGAAGCCAGAAGTGGAACTGTGGCTCAAGTGGTAGAGTGCTATCCTTGAGCAAAAGAAGCTCAGGGACAGTGCCCAGGCCCTGAGTTCAAGCCCCAGAACAGGAAAACAGGAAGGAAGGAGGGAAGGAAGGAAGGAGGGAAGGAAGGAGGGAAGAAGGGACGGAAGGAAGGAAGGAAGGAAGGAGGGAAGGAAGGAAGGAATGAAGGAAGGAAGGAAGGAAGGAAGGAAGGAAGGAAGGAAGGAAGGAAGGAAGGAAGGAAGGAAGGAAGGAAGGAAGGAAGGAAGGAAGAGATGGAGGGAGGGAGGGAGGAAGGGAGGGAAGGAGGGAAGGAGGGAAAGAGGGAGGGAAGGAGAAGAAAGGGAAACTAGCAATTTGTTCTGTTTACAGACCTTCTTCCACCCACATCTACTACCTTCTAGTACCTAAGTTCATATCACTTCTGTTTCTTAGTTTACTGCAACAGTGTCCTAACTCATCTCCTTACCTTCAGTCCTATCTACTTACCTATATACATTCTCCACACTAGATTCAAGAGTAGTCTTTCTTACATAACCACTCTGTTAATGTTATTCTTCATATAAAACCCTTAAATAGCCCATTTCCCTCAGTTTAAAATCTAAATCCCGTAGTATGACATAGGATTCTTCTGGCTTTTCCCCTCAGTTTAATCACTGAAGAAACCTTCACTTCCAACTTCTATCTTCTATCCATACTGAAATAGTTGCAGGTCCAAACAGATTATGCTGCTTCACTACTCCAGACTTTCCCTAGACTACTGAGGCCTCCCTCAGCCTATACTGTGCTTTCAAGCGAATTCCAACAGGCTTATAGGATGATTGCTCCTCTAGCTGGATAATTATTTTCCCTTCTGTTTCTATAGTAATGGGGCACTTAGCCATCTCATAAAACTGGTAGTGCACTACAATTGTCTTGACTGCCTTCTTTATCTGCTTCCAGACTAAGTTCCTTGAAGGCAGAGCCTGAGACCTAGTTATTATTATTTCCTATGAATAAATACTATAATCTGAGGCTGCGTCCCTAAAATACCAATCCTGGGGAAGTCCTCAGAGTCTATTCCATCTATCCATTGAGTGAATGATGCAACTATAAGTGGATAAAACCATTAAAATCACCCAACTGGAGACTGAGTTGAGTGTGGAACTAAGGTCTTAAGATTACAAAGCTCTTAAGATTACTGTAGTTCCTAAAGTTCTTTTACTTTCTTCCTCTTTCATGACCATTAACTGTTGCCTTTGAATAAGAAAGTTAAGCACACACATTTTTCATGAGAAGGAAGATATTACTTTCTTTTGCTTTAGTGGAACATCATTTAGAGATATATTTGAAACTTAAAAAAAAAATTGCCAGGTATGATGGTACAAGCCTATACTTCCAGCACCCAAAAGGCTGAGGTAGGAGGATAACAATTAAGGTCCAGAGCAGCTTGAACTAAATGTTGAGATTGTTTCAAAAGAAGTTTTATATATATTGAAAGAATTTTTTTAAATGGCTATTATAACTATAAAAAAAAGTTATCCATGTTTTAGTTCTCAATTTAGTCTCAGTAAAGACTGCAAAAGTGACTCAGACAAAAAAGCTGCATTTTCTGAATCAGACCAAAAGAGGGCAGCAACAACCAAGAAAGTGAATCACAGAACAAGCAAAATTCAATTCAAAACCCAATAAACACCCAAATAGCAAGCTCAATTACTAAAATAGACATGCTGATATTTGTATACTGAGGGTATACAGTTTACATACTTAATACGTATTTTACTTACAGATTCTGTGTATACTATACTAAACAGCTTTACTCAGTGTTTTTTTTTAATTATATCTAGCTGTTTAATGGATTCTCTGAAATATAGAGCAAGAAGTTTGCAGACCATTAGTTTGTTTTTTTTTTAAAGTAGTAAAAATAGCAGACTCCTGGAAAACAAATTGTTTCTGAGAGCTTTATCTCTTAGGCCTCAGTAATCCAAACTTTTTAATTCTCTTATACCAACTTCTAAATGCACGGTTATTTGTTATTAATTCTCCGCAGTCCACAAACCATACCCATACTATCCAATCCAGACTGTGCTAAATACCTCATTCCCTGTCCCTCCTATGGCATGCTCACTAAATATTATCACTAATTAATTAATTGCCGGTCCTGGGGCTTGAACTCTGGGCCTGGGTACTGTACCTGAGCTTCTTTAGTTCAAGTCTAGCACTTGTGCTAGAGTTCCTCTTCTGGCTTTTTCTAAATAGTTTCTTGACTTTCCTGCCCTTTGAACTGGCTAGCTTTGAACTGTGAACCTCAGATCTCAGCCTCCTAAGTAGGTAGTATTATATCCATGAGCCACTGGCACCTGGCTCACTAAAAGTTTTAACTATAAATGTAATATTGAGTGGCTGGGAAGGTGGCTCCGTGGTAAAGCGCT